AGTCACTGTTTGGCTGTTTAAGAACCTTCCATTTCCGTCCTCGATTACGCCATCTTCGAGGATTTAGAGCAGATGGTGTCCAGGTTCATGCACATGCCAGTGTCTGAGATTCTTCCTCTCCCTAGACTTCAAACCCGTGATTAAATTATCCATTCCCTCATATCCACCCAAATTGTGTCTCATTCTTTAGGGCCCTGTGTCCGGTTTGAGTCATAAACGCTGGTGTAAGAATGTACCGCGTCATTTTTTCCCCTTTGAATCATGAAAAGCACACCTCTCGTCTCTCAAATTAATATTCCCATCTATCCTAGGGTGCTGGGATGATGTTCCTGTGTGTGTGTGTGTTGGTTGTTCTCCCCAATGGTCAAGCCTGTCACCAGTCACCTCCACTTCCGACCCAGATACAAAAAGCACCTAGTCGTTGAACAGTTGTCCTGAGTCCAGGCGTTTTCTCTTAGATGCATTCTTTGAAAAATACATAGGACATTTAGGCACACACACACTAGTGACCTCTATCTAGCCCACTTATACTTTTAGTCATTAAGTTCATATCCTACCTCTCACAGGTGAACCTCCTGGGTACATATTTTTGGCCAATTCCACGTCCGACTCATTTCACTGTAATCGCTTTTTCTTGATTTCCTTTTTTCCTTATGAACAGCTCCTTTCCTGTTGTTGAAAAGTTGTCCTAGGTCCAAGCGTTTTCATTTTGACGTATTCGTTAAATCTCGAAGTCTGTACGGACAGTACGTAAAATTATCGTTGATAATTCCCTCTACAAATCTCCTGGTAATCGAGTTTCTTTGAAAGAGGATATTTACAGCCTCTCTGATCTTGCGTTTCTTGATGTTTTCCACATATCGGGTGAGTCTTTTCGTTGCATCCCAGACAATTATGTGGCTGATATTGGCAATGTCTTCAGCTATCTCCGATCTTTCCATATCCAATTTTCTGCAGTCACTGGTGTTCTTTGATCCTTGTGCTAATAGTCGTTACAATTTATGCTGTAAATTCAGAACTACATTTTATTGACTTATTTATGCTGTGTGGGCAAGCTGGCGAAAAGGGTTGTCCTCTCCTTAAGGAATGTACGAATGCTCAATTTCCTTAGTATTGGCCGTAGCTTCCGTGCCGATTCGCAAAAGGGTAGACATATCAATCATGTTTCCTCTGCTTCTCTGCTTTTCTCTTACCTCCTTCCATCTGATCGCCACCATCCGTAGGTGACGTTGTATTGCTTCTTCTGGATATCCGTTTCCCTGAAATATCTCAGCTAGTTGTCTTAGTTCCTCTTCCCAGAACTCAGAATCAATGAGTCGTAAACTTCTTATGGCCATACTCCTAAGTAGACCAATCTACATTCCATAAGTATGGTACGACTGGAAGTTAAGAGTAATTCCAGCATGAAATTTCTTTCGAGAAAGACTTTAATTGAGAGTTTTCTCGGAGCGAATGACCTTCACATCCAAGAAAGATAAGTGTCCGTTCTCTTCCCCATCCATAGTTACTTTGACTTTTTCATCCATTTCGTTTATAATGATCAGGAAATCGTCTAATTTTTCTCTTCGCTCAGAACAAATTGCAAAGTAGTTATCAAGTATCGCATACTTATTGTTAGTTGCTGATGTGACATTCTGAAACTCTCATCCAGCTTACCTATGAAGATATTAGCCAACAGAGGTGATAGTGATAAGCCCTTAGGTCATTCTTATCGTTAGATTAATTAGCCGGGTTAAAGACTCTCTGCGCATTCGCTCTGTATCCAGTATGTCATTTTCTTTTTCCAAGATATTCAGCAGTGTGATGAGTGCTTTTGCTCTTGTGATGTTAGTGTACATGGACTGTACACCAAAGCTCACCAAAGGTTAGTTTCCTTTAAATCTTGAACCTTTGATTCTTTGGAAAAATTCGTATAAGTTCTTCATTGTATTTGGCAATATGTCATTCACTTTCTTTAATTTGAGGCGGATAAATTTCGCCAATTTATGTATTCGTCCATGTTAGTTGTTGATTATCAGTCTTAATGGTTCTTCTTCTTTGAGTACCTTAGGCAAACCGTATGCTACTATGTCTCTTGCATCCTTTCGTATGAGTGAGTCCAT